AAGAGTTGGCGGTGGGTGGTGATGACTAGCTGCCTTCCCTCTAGTCTTACACTGCTAAATTAGGGACGGCTAGCGCAGATAGCCCTCGTGTAGCTTTGCACGAAATTCAAAAACAAACAAACACAGAAGAAGACATGAGGCAACGCCTCGCTTTCAACTGTAAGCTTCCAACAGGATATAAGAATGGTACATAAAACTGAACAACCGTAAAAACACAAAAGATATTGTTTGTCTTCTTGCTCTTGTTCCACTCACTCATGGTGTTCCTGAGACAGCTGTAGAATTTCATTCTGATATATTGATATTTAATCCTCTTTCACACAAAATTATTTTTTCAATCATTTCACCCCTCTAGATAACACAAATTCTTTGACAAGGGAGTGGTCAACATGGTCATCATGTAGCATCACGTGTGGACAGGGTATTCAAGAGAGGCACAAGTTGTGTGGTAGCCAGTGCGAAGAAACAGAATCCCGGCAATGCTGGAAAAACGGCTGCGAAAATGAAGATGGTTCATTACCAGCAAACGGAAATCCAGGTATTTCTATCAATCTTGATAACACAGAAAAACAACAAAGATCATTACCCACAACCCTGTAAACCATAATTAACGTAACAATAATCATAAGTACGAAACTCAAAATCGCTGAGATATGTGAAGAGATATGATAAAGTTAGTGAAACACCCAGAACAGAACTTGATAAAATAACTAAATTACTAAAGAGAGTATCCTGTTATGTAAACCTTAAAACATGAAATTAAAGATATTATATTCTGTATATCCGAAAATAAACGAGTTTTAAGAACCTGATAAACTTTTAATGGAATTTCAGAACGATTTGTCTTTCGTATCTAATAAGAAAATTTGAATCCGACAGAAGTTATTGAATCTTATAAGTATAAAACAACTCTAAACTCACCCGAAAAGGCGTCTTTGAACATCTTGAAGATTTTTTATTGTATTTTTGTAGTGACTTTCAAGTTGTACATGTTGCCCACAAAAACATTTTCTCTAGACATGATATTAAATGAAAACTAATGAAATAAAATGCTATCTTTCACGATTGCAGGGCGCGAGATTTTTTTTACTAGACAATATAAGTCCAATTTGCATAAATAGGCGAAGTTTCAACTATTACGTCAGGATAAAGTATGGTACGCGGAACCGTGATATAAGGCGTTTTTTTGTTTGTTTGTTGTTGTTTTTTACAAAAAGTTGACCCAAATACTTAAACTACGAAATATCATAACTACTAGCCCCCCAGTGGCACAGCGGTATGTCTGTGGACTAACAACGCTAGAATCCAGGTTTCGATACCCGTGGTGGGCAGAGCACAGATAGCCCATTGCGTAGCTTTGTGCTAAATTACAAACAAACATAACTACTAATTGCGTTTCCATAGTTTCATATCAGTATTCTTAATCCTTGCCAAGTGGGAACTCATGAACATAATTACCCGAAAATGTTAGGAACAAATATAATGTACATTTTGTATAATTCGTACAAGAAAAACTTCTTATCAGAGATCTCAAGAAGTAGCAAACACTGGTTACATACAGTTCCGCATTCCACAGTTTATCCTGGCGTATTGATTGAAACTCCGCCCATTTATGCAAATTAGACTTGTCTCGCCCGTAGGTCTTATTATTTAAAACATTAACAATATCAACTAGACGGGTACTAAATAGGGCGCATACCTTCATCACGCAGCGTATATCATATTCAACTTTCAAAAACACGAAAATGTTTTCGTATGTTCGTCGTTATCAACGGACACGGGCCATTTTCGGCAGGACAATGAGGAATAACATTATACATATGTCCACCACGTTTCATCAAAGTTCGGTCATTTTTGACTGGGTTATAGAGCAAAAATCGGTCCTCATGTTAACAGATGAGGAGTTTTTATATTTTTGTGACCTTGACCCTCCAAAAACTAATCACTAAGTTGAGTCGTAGTCCAAATCCATTCAGCCGTTTTCGAGAAATCTTGCTGAAAGACACACAAAGACAGGGGTGAAAACATAGCTAAGGGGTCTAGTTCTTCGTCATTAACAAATTCAATATTATTCAAACTTATTGACTCGTATGTCAAATCCTGTAATTATACTGCTTATAATCAGGAAAATGTATCTCATAGAAAATATAAACTAAAGGATATTTATCTCGTATAAAGTACAAATATTTGTCATTTAGCCTGTATTTACGAATCGTAACGTGTACATGAAAAATGATGCAAGTGAGAGCAATAAACTATCCGCGAGAACTGTGCTTATGGCAAGAGAGTGTAAAATAAATTAGACTAGAATCAAACTTCAAATAACGAACAAAAATCACTTTATTTAAAACAAAAGAGAAAAGTGATTTATCCTCAGCTTCGGAAATTGCTGTTTGAACGATTCAATAACATTTATTCATTTTTAAAACAGAATATTATGAGTTTTATTTTCCTAGTTTTACTTTAGATTTATGTATTATATTGCTTCGAATAAGTTTAAGCTTTTCGCAAGTTTCTTAAAATTATACCTATGATATCTGTTAATTTTAGTTAATGTACAGTATTGGAAATAATTATGGAAACGATGAGGGAAAAGTAATATCACCCCCTTTATCACGTGGAAATTAAATGCACCAGTGTACAGTCACGTTTTAATAATTTACACTGTGATTAACATTCATCCAACAAATCACAAAGTACCTTACGAATAAGCGTATTAAAGTGCAGGTAATCATACCATGCCCAGTAGTAGTAGTTGTATAATCCAGTCATGGCTTCCAAGATTGAAATATCGCATGACAACAAACAGAAATGAAAGTTTTATCTGGCCAAGGTCATTGCGGCAAGGTTCCATGATTCAGTAGGAGCTGAGTGAACGACTTTGTTCTCAAAAAGTACAGTGAACTGATAAACTGTCACACTAAATTTGATCAAAAATAAAATTGAATAATAAAGTAATTGAATAACTGGCTGGAAAAACAGAATAGTTTGCTGTGGAAAAAAGCTATTACTATACAGCAAATACGTACACTTCTATTTATGACTCTTAAGAAGGTAATTTGAAACTGGTACTATTAACTTCCGACCAGAGAAAAGTGTGTGTTTAAATGTAAATAACTGCCGGTGCATTTTATTGCCGGCAAATAATTAAGTTCTTAAAACAAAACTTTTCCTAGCTGAGTGAACGACTTTGTTCTCAAAAAGTACAATGAACTGATAAACTACCACACTAAACTTGACCAAAAATAAAATTGAATAATAAAGTAATTGAATAACTGGCTGGAAAAACAGAATAGTTTGCTGTGGAAAAAAGCTATTACTATACAGCAAATACGTACACTATTATTTATGTTTGCACAGGTACATATTTTATGACGTAATTTTCGTATTCAAGGTTTTTTGACATGGTAATGGTTGCTTTTGTAATATTACGATAATATAATTTCTATACGCGCAGAAAACCTTAAAATGAAATAATTAATTGCTGCATCCCTTTGCCGGCAGTAGAATGTTGTAGAACTATCACGTCTCATAAGTTTCATCCAGCTTAGAAGATTTAGGTTAGTCCTTTATAATTGTCATTTATACTATTTTTTGCTTCTTTAATTGGCACCCTCAAGTATCTTAAGGTATGTTCTTACCAACGATCATGTTGTAAATATAGGTGTAAATGTTACCTTTAGAACAGTTAGACATTAGCTAGAAATAGTCTCAATGAAGTGCAACGGTTTGAAAACTGCTGCTATAAATAGGTAACGAAACCAAAAGGTTGAAATGGGCATTGGACCACAAACAATGAGGACGTTGCTCTTTACAGGCAAATCCAAGTTCGAATTGTTCAGCAACAATCAATTACAGTTTGTTCAACAGCGGAAAGAACAGTGAAGCATAGTGGGGTATTAGTTTAAATTTTTGGCTGCATCTCCTTCAGTGGCGTTGGTGATCTACAAAAAATTGATGGTGTCCTAACTGCTGACAGATACCTACAGATTCTGATTCATCGTGCCATTCTCCTGAGAATACGACTCACTGGGCAAGTACTCATCTTCCATAAAGACAATGACCTCAAGCAAACAGCAAATGTGGAGAAACGATATCTTGAAGGTAGAGGGGGCCGGTGGAACATTCACAGCTATGGCTTGGTTTGCACAAAGTTCCCAAATGAACATTCTTGAGGCCGAGTAAAAACTGAATAGCAGCATGCAAAAGGGTGTAATGCTCTGTGTCCCCCCCCCCCAGTCTGCGAACGTATAACGCTATAAACCGGGTTTCGATACCCGTGGTGGACACAACACAGATAGTACATTGTAGATCTTTGTGCTTAACTACAAAACAAACAAACAAAATGCTCTGTGTGAAAGGGTGCACATACAAAATACTATTGCATTGTACAATTTATTTCCTTTTGTCAAGTATTTTCTGAGATAATGTTTTGTACTATTCATAAATTCATCATGTACAGGGTTCGCCAAAAGAAGTGTGGATTTTTTATCGTTTTATTTTCCAAAGTATTATTAAAAAAACACTGTCTGTTTTATTCCAAATGAAGATTGAGGGTTCAAATTTTAATGGTGAACAATCCAACAGCTTCCTCTTACTGTTGACCTTCATTTCAAAAATAAAAGCTCCATCTTTGCTGCTCAAAAAGAGCACCGTCGAAAACTTGGTGTTAAAGTTGCACCTTCTGAAAACGTCATCAACGGAAATTGTGGTTTCAACACGATAGCGCCACCTGATATATAGCATCAGCAACAACGACAGTGGTGATCTTAATAAAGATTAATTAGTCGACAGGTAGTTAGACCCTGCAGTTGACCGAAAGAATAATGGAAACGAAAAGTATTTGTTAGGATTGACGAAACGAAACACAATTGTGCAATAAAACATAAAATCTTTCTTATACACTTAAAAATGCAAATCGAAATACAACACACATGAGAGACGTATATGAGAGGTTAAAATAAATCTCAAGGAGAAGTAAATTAGAAAAAAAAAATTAAACCGAATACAAATAAAGAATTAGCGCTATCGAAATGGCGGGAAATGAGAACGCCAGGTTATATATGAACTTGACTGCTAGTTTCTAGACATGAATTTACTTAAAACTTGCATAGAATCAACAAGTAAAGCTGTAAATTTATAGTTCCACCAACCTTGATCAGGGAACCAGGCGTTAATGCTAAATCTCTCTCCATCCGTGAGCATGTGGCATCTTTACTTTACGAGGGATAGCATCAAAGGGCTCATACTAATATAGACTCAGATGATGTTTGAGTCAATGTGTGATATAACCATAAAATATACAGCCCTAAAAACATTTTAACATGTCCAAAACACGTCAAGAGTAATCGAAAACTTTTGTCTACGTCTATGTATCTTATTAATTCTAAAACAGAAAAATAGTTTTATATCTAGTGTGAGAAACTAAAACTTTAAAATTCATTTCGTAATTAATTAAACTATAAAATGATTAATAATGTGAAACTTAACATTTTTCTCGATGAATAAGTCGTATTTATAAACATTTGTATAAATTATTATAATTTGTTGCACAATCTAAAAGTTTGAGAATGTACTATACTGATGAATACTATTTTACGTGAAAGTTGAATATGTAAATTTTTGTTTTTAGGGTTCTCAAAGCAATGGGATTCTACGTCAGAACTGAACACAGAAAATACGGCGCTGACAGAAAACAACACTCTGAATTATGAAGGCAAGTTTAAATAGAAAGGCCATCAGGGCCACACTAAATTTGTCACTACTGTATCCCAGAAGATTAAAGGCCTTTCTACATTCGTAACTCCTTTGAACATACCGACCCTTATCAACACCTGGTAACTAAAAAGCAGACGGAATATTTTCGTTTTAATTTACTTATTGATTATAAGTTATTTTTACAACATACATTTTTTTATAATAAAGAAAAATATTTCTTTAACCATGTACGACGTTTCGGCCACTGTGTAATTGACAATGATCGATTGAACCATCTGCTGTGTCCACCGCGGGGAATCGAACCCCGTATTGTAGTGTTGTAAGTCTGTATATTTACCATCATCTCACCGTGGGACACCAGCGAACGAAATGTCGTACCTGCTTTAAAAAAAAATATATTTTTCCTTACTGTAAAAGCTGTAACTCGTAAAAACAAAAGGCAGACTGTTTAGGAGTTTAAGTTCACTGTTCCAAGTTAAGCCATTAAATATCCTACTACTAACACTGGAAACTAAATTATCAACGCTGCTAACGGTAATTAGCCTGCACAGTAAATCTTAATTAAATATGCATCTAGCCTCATGTAAGAACTTCGTTCGATATACTACACAAATAGTAATTTGGGAAATAGTTTCTAATTACTATTTCAAAATGATTATCTCTCCGACTTCTTATCATCTGCTTTCCTCTCAAGCTTTTCTTTTTCATTCAAATATCGAGGAAATTTTCACAATGAATATGATAGCTTCATGAAGTTGGCTCATTAATGAAGATATTGTAAATTTTCAATAAACCTTGATGGATTACTTCATTTGTAAACTTCTTGTTTTGTCGGTATATCCCTATTTTTAACACTAACCTTCTTCGCTTGCTCTTTATTCTGCTTAACTTTTTTTTTTAAACTGCTTCTGTTTCTTAACACTATTTTTTGTCTGTGATTATTATGAAGAAATTACTTTATTGCATTAAATAATATAAATCTCGTAAAATATAAATATATTTTTATTCAAACGCACAACTAGAACAAATTATAACTATAGTATCTTCAACACACTACTTTGGTAGTTCTAGATTTATTTCTTAGCTCTAAACAGCTTGCTTATAGAACTTGTAACTTTCAAGCTCACTACAGCAATATTGTTGTGTATTATTCGATTATATTTAACGTTAAATTATAACCACTACACAACTGTGATAAGCTACATTAGTAATTAGGGTGCCCAATCTGCGCCCAAATTTTCCTCCTCACACCGAATGATGCTGGAGTAACGTGGGCGTTGATGGACTTCATCAGGCATAAAGAACTGGGGCAACCTTTGAGTCCGGGAGCTCACGTGACCTAAGATGCAACAGTCGTTAGTTCCACATAATGCCACCAGAGGTCGACGCAAAGTTGGAATCTCCAACATTCACGTATCGTAACATAATGCCTATTGCAAGTGTCGTCATAATAAATTTTACAGAAGGAATTCATACCCGATTTTTCCTTTATTATAGTCAACTTTCTAAAATTTAAGTTCATTTCAGTATCCATGTATTCAATAACTTAAAAGGTGTTTTAGTACGTAAAATTAATAACGTTTCATCGAGTTTGTAACAGCTTTAATATTTTATCGTGTAATCCACAGATTATCTATGTACTTGTTTTACAATCTTTGAAGTCCTGAAAAGAATTTTTTTATGTTAAGTTATGCATAAAATACTCAAATTCTAAATAAATAATATATATATATAATATGCTTTACACTATATAAAAGTAACGTAGTATGTTCTAACGAAAATGGATTATTGAAGGCAATATATATGTAACCCTTAAAGGACTGTTTTATTTCTTAGGTCCTATAACGTCTGATTTTACCCGTAAGTCATTAAACTTTGTATGTTCTATATAAAGAGCCAGACATAACTTCATCAATCCTGACCAAAAATAACTGCCTGTTTACAGTACTAGGCGTAGTCAACAGCTGGATACATCTTGTTCATAAATAATGTCTAACCAAGATCAAGCAACACGTACTAAACTCTAAAATTTACTTGAATAAAGATGTATTCATCTTCTGAGTTTTGAAAGGATTACAGATTTTTTGTTGTAGTTGTTTTTGAATATTCTCGTAAGGGCTATATGAACCAGCTATCCCTAATTTTGAACTGGTAGATTACGTGGAAACAGCTAGTCAAAATTACCTATCATCAACAACTCTTGTCTGACTTAAGAGAGTGAGATTTGACCATCACCTTTATAACGCTTCCACAGCCAAAAATGTACAGCATGATTTCTGTATTTTGTTTTGCAGTAACAGGACACAAATGATGAACTTCCTCATCCAAAATCTGGCACGTAACCACTGGGGCAGTCTCAGCCAAAAGGTTACATCCACAATTTTTCATAAAAGGCATGTTCATTACAGAAAATCAACTAAATTTTATTTGCAATTGCATGATATTTCCATGTGTTCACTTAAGTTTTTTTTTTTTTTCATTTTAACGCCATTCTTATTTGAGCAAAAGATACAAGTACACAAAAGCATCATTTATCTGTCAAAATATTAACTGTTAAGTCCTTAGTTACACTCGAAATACAAAGTTTTCATGCCATCAAAAATCTAGAAAATAAAATCAATTAATTTAGAATCAAAGCTTCAATTAATACACTCTCATATTTTTTCTTTCACTGACATTTTATCTACCAAGTTTTCTTGCAATGGTTACAAATTTAAATTTGAAATAATGTCCTTCAGGATAACAATGTTTAATTGAAAGGTTTCAGTACTTTAATATTATAAATGTAACTTTACAATTTTTGCTATTAAAACATAAGAAAAAAAGTTTATATTTTTATTACTGGTTTTTAACCTTTGCTTTGAAACTAGTTTTTTCCTTTTTTTCACCATCACCCTCTAGAGGAAGATCTATGTGAAATGTGGGCATCTTGTAAAAATGACTTTTTAAAGCAGTATTTATTGAATTTACAAAACCTGCCTAGTTGCCCATGTTACTATCCCACCAAGATCTTCTATGATAATAAAATATGGGACAGCAACTTGGAAAAATACATGCGATGGCAGGATGCCAGTGGAGAAGCCGAACGACTGGATGTTTATAAGAAAGGAGCATATTCCTGTATACGTTCTTTGGTCAGTGACATAAATACAGGCCTTGCTGCCCAGCACTGCTGTTATGATAAGTTTCAAAGGCTCATTACTCGAGGACCAGGAGCTGGAACTCCTCATCTAATTAGCCCAGAGATATCTCGTGGCCTACACTATCAAGTTGATATCTTACCTTGGGTCATCTGCAAAGGAGATTGGACAAGGTAAATAAACAAACTCTGACCATGCCATGATTTAGTTATTAATCTATGGAAAAATAGCATGATTCAGTTAGTACATTTGTCAAACTTAATACAGCATAATGATAAAAAAATTTAATTCACAACAATCATAACATACCAAGAAACCACATCACATTTTTCATAAAGATTAGCCATTGTAATGATACTCCACATTAACCCTTTATCTGTGGAAGAATTAATCCTGTGTTACATCCACACCCCTTCAACACAATTTTTACAAAATATTAAAAGCATTATCAGTTCAACTTCTTAATGAAAACTCATTATGGTCAATAATATTTTTGTCACACAAACCATGAAGTAAAAATAACAATACATTATTCACAGAAAATTAATTACAAATTCTGTGAAACAAAAAGGTGAAATAATTAACAAACTTCTTAGTTCTTTCATAAACATTAGTTCCACCACCTTTTCATTTCAAATACTACAAAGTTTGAAAAGTTTAGTATATACAATTTTAAAGGATTCCAAATGTCAATCACATTAATATTATGGTAATAAACTAAACAACACAATGATAGCATGCATTATTTATAATCTCATAATCCCAACATTAACAAATATTGTAATTTACTGAAGTGAACTTGATTCTAATACCCTCCATCATGTCTACTTTCTGATACAGCATTTTAAAGCAATATCTCAAAATATGAAATAATTTTATTTAACTTTTAAATATCAATTCCCTGATTCAAATTTCTAGATACCATATTTTTGTTCTACTTTTTTATGTCCACTTTAGTTAATTTGGCAATTTTATTAACTAGCATTACTATTAATAACTTAGCTAATTGTTAACAGGGCATTTTACAAGCTTTCCAAATTAGATAATTTAGTACTAAATAACTTGACCATTATGACACATAAACAGTCATGACTTATTTTAACTACGTTACAGGAGGAGAAACGTAGTAAC